AGGTGGAAATGGAGACCGTGGCAGGTTAGTGCAGAGGAAGTTCACCAGATTGTGTTGCCGGTAGCACACAGACAGGATACATTGTGGGTAGCACACAGCAAATATTGTGGATAGCACACAGACAGGAAATATTGTGGGTTGCACACAAGTTATCTGTAGGAGGTCATCCAGGAGTAAGGAAGACTCAGGCTGCGATACAGCAGTATTTCTATTGGCCTGGATTACATAAAGATTTGGTGGAACTTTGCTGTACCTGTTATATGGTGTGTCAGATGGCAGGAGAGCCACAGGCAGTAATAAATCCAGTGCCTTTGATGCCAATTCCCTCATTTGAAGAACCTTTCACACGGGTTATGTTTGATTGTATGGGTCCCCTCACTAAAACCAAAAGTGGGAACCAGTGTTTGCTAAACCTAACGTATGTGTCTATCAGATTTCTGGAGGCAATTCCAATATGGAATGTCAAGGCAAAAACGGTTGTGGAGGAGTTAGTTGTGGAGGGAGATTCAGTCAAACCAAGGGTCCAAATTTACTGCCAAACTATTTAAGGAGGTCATGGATAGTTTAGGCATCAAACAGTTTAAATCATGTGCATACCATCCTGAATCCCAGGGAGCATTGGAAGGGTGGCATCAGACCCTACAGACCATGCTGAGGGCTTATTGCCAGATTTACCCAAATGATTGGGATATGGGTGTCCCGTTTATATTATTTGCTATTAGAGATGCTCCAAATGAATTGACTCAGTTTATTCCATTTGAGTTTGATATTCAGAGACAAAGTAAGAGAGCCTTTAAAATTAATTAAGGAAATGTTGATAGGTACGAAGTCAGAGATTTCACAGTTTGATTATGTATCTGAGTTGAGAGAGAGATTAAACAGAGTAGGTGAATTAGCTAGACAACATCTGAAGGTGGCACAGCATCTAATGAAGCAAGAAACAGATAAGAGATCTAAAATTTGTACGCCTGTCTGTGGGGATAGAGTATTGGTGCTGTTACCAGTGGTAGGACATCCCTTCAAAGCAAGGTTTAGTGGTCCCTGTTGGATTGAGAAGAAGTTAAGTCTGGCAAATGATCTGGTAAAGATGCCAGATAGAAAAAGAACTTTATCGGGTAAGTCATGTGAATATGTTGAAACCCTCCTATGAGAGGGACAGGGAACTGGAGAAACAGGTTTTAGTCACTGCCCCTCAGAGTGAAGAATCAAATCCAGATGATTTGGATTTTGAAGTGCCTCAGAATAAATTAAATAATAAGGAAGTCCTTAAAGAATGGGATAGGATAGTGAGCTATCTGTCTCAGGAGCAGAGAACTGAATTGAAAGGCTTGTTGTAGCACTATGAGGACATATGTAGGAATAGAATCGGGAGGACTATTATCAATGATTTGGATGAGAATGTACAAGGCATGATTAGTAAGTTTACAGATGACACTAAAATAGACGGTATCATGGACCGTGACAAAAGTTATCAGAAATTGCAGCAGGGTCTTGATCAAATGGGAAGTGGGCCTAGAAATGGTAAATGGAATTTAATCTAGATAAGTGTGACGTGTTGCATTTTGGAAGGTCAAGGGGAATGATAGGGCCTTAAGGAGTGTAGTGGAACAGAGGGACCTTGGAGTTCAGGTGCACGGTTCTCTGAAAGTGGAGTCACAGGTAGACAGGGCAGTGAAGAAGGCTTTTGGCATACCGGCCTTCATCAGGCAGGGTATTGAGTATAGAAGTTGGGAAGTTATATTGCAGTTGTACAGGACATTGGTGTGCCCACACTTGGAGTATTGTGTTCCGTTTTAGGGACCTTGCTGTCGGAAGGATGTTATTAAACTGGAAAGAGTGCAGAAGAAATACAAAGGACTGAGTTACAGGGAGAGGACAATCATAGAATCACTACAGTATGGAAATAGGCCTTTTGGCCCAACAAGTCCACACCGACCCTCAGAGTATCCCACCCAGACCCATCCCTGGACACTATGGGCAATTTAGCATGGCCAATCCACCTAGCCTGCACATCTTTGGACTGTGGGAGGAAACCGGAGCACCAGGAGGAAACCCACGCAGACACGGGGAGAACATGCAAACTCCAGACAGACAGTCACCCAAGGGTGGAATCGAACCCGGGTCCCTGGTGCTGTGAGGCAGCAGTGCTAACCACTGAGCCACCATGCCACCCTAGGACAAGCTAGGACTTTTTTCTTTGGAGAGTAGGTGACTGAGGGGGGAATCTGACAGAAGTCTATAAGATCATGAGAGGCGTGGATAGGGTGAATGCACTCAATCTTTTTCCCAGGGTTGGGGAATCAAGGACTAGAGGGCATCAGTTTAAGGTAAGAGGGGAGAGAATTCATGGGAACCTGAGGCACAACTTTTTTACACAGAGGGTGGTACGCATATGGAATAAGCTGCCAGCAGAAGTAATTGAGGCGGGTACATTAGCAACATTTAAAAGGGCATTTGGATGAATACATGGATAGGAAAGATTTAGAAGAATATGGGCCAAGTGCAAGGAAATGTGGATGGACATTTTGTTCAGCATGGGCCCGTTTGGGCTGAAGGACCTGTCTCCATGCTGTAGGACTCTATGACTCTGTGACTTATTTTAAAGACCATGAGTTTGAAGTAGGTAATGCTGTTCCGATAAAACAACACCCCTACAGGCTTAATCCTCTCAAAGCCACACAAGTACAGAAGAAGCTGAGTCGAAGCAAGTGGAGTCCACCGATCATGTTGGTTCCCAAACTTGATGGTACTCAATGATTCTGCATGGATTATCGGAAGGTCAATGCCCTAACTAAATCAGACTCATTACCAATTCCAAGGCTGGAGGACTGTGTGGTAAAGGTTGGACAAGCCACTTACATCACAAAGTTAGACTTACTTCATGGTTACTGGCAAGTACCTTTGTCGAAGAGAGTGAAAGACATTTCTGCATTTGTAACCCCAAAAGGGCTGCATCAATTTAAAGTAATTCTCTTTGATACGAAGAACGCACCAGCCACATTTCAAAGGCTTATGAACAGAGTTGTGGCAGGATTGACTAACTGTATCGTCTATATAGATGACGTCGTGATCTTTAGCCATTCGTGGAAAGATCACATGGTGCATTTGGCAGAGCTCTTTGAAAGACTACAGGAGACAAAACTGGTTATAAACTTAGCAAAAACAGAATTCGCGAAGGCAAAAGTTAACATTCTTGGGACACAACATCAGACATGGAAGGATGACACTGAGGAACGTGAAGACAAAGGGCGTTGAAGAATTTCCAAGACCATCCTCGAAGAAAGAGGTGTTTCAATTTTTGGGACTGAGTGGATTCTACTGGATGTTTGTACCAAACTTTAGCAGCGTGGTGGCACCGCTGACAGATTTGATAAAGAAGAACATGAAATTTTGGTGGACAGTGCAATGCAAGGAGGCATTTGAGAATTTAAAAACAGTGTTAACCACCGCACCGGTTTTAGCCACACTAAATTTCTTGAAAACCCTTTAACGTTGCTATCGATGCCAGCAATGTCGGGGTTGGAGCTGTGTTAATATCGGAGGATGATGGCAGAATTGAAAAGTCAATTGGTTATTTTTAAATGAAACTCAATATCCACCAGAGAAAATATCCACCATTGAAAAAGTTATTTTGAGTTTGGTACTGGCCTTACATTTTAATGTTTATGTTACAAACAATATTTGGAGATGATTGTGTACACAGACCACAACCCTCTCACCTTTTAGGGACAGGAATACGAGACTACTTTGTAGGAGTATTATGTTACAGACTTTTAATCTATAGATTGTACATGCTGCGGGTCGTCAAAATGTTATTGCAGATGCGTTATTGCGCATTTAAAAGAAAATGTGTAGATAAGATAGAACCAATATGATCCAATATTATATATGTATGCAGAATTAGAATGAAAGGTGTAACTTGAGATTACTGCCCTATGTATCTCATGATAATGGTGTTAAGATTTAAAACAAAATGAAGACATCTTTTCATAATGATGGTTCATTTTTTCTTGGGGAGGTGGTATGAAGTTGCGTAGAGTAATCGTGAATTGGAAGACAGGAAGCTACAATGTATTTGTAAAACAATGATAAAGGGGGAAGACTGCATAGTCCCTTTAAGAGGCGATGTGCTTTTCTAAGCTTGGAGATTTAAATGAAAATGTGTCTTTAAGCAGCTGAATAGGTATAGCCAGTTCTGAAATTGAAACATGTATCAATTGGCTGTGTGATTGTAAACCTTAGACTTATTTTGATGTTTTGGCAACTAGCCAGAATTAGCCAATTAATTTAAACCAAACACTTGGTGTTTGGAAGACAATTGAATTTAAATCTGATGGTTTTGACAACCTCAGATCAACGCCATTGTAAGAAAATTGATATGTCATCAAAGGTATATAAGGAGAGGGTTTTTGAAAATCGGTGTGAGAGCGAACTACCATCTGAGAAATAAGCATCTAGCTCTCACAAGAAATCGCTAAGCTCTCTAAGAAAGCACCATCTATCCATAAACGGTACCATGGCACTTCTAGCTAAGTGTCCTCATAGAGAAAACATCCCTGACAGTGGGATGGCAGATTTCCTTCCCTCAACGATGTTAGTGAACCAGATGGGCCTATCCCCAACACTGAGTTATTTAATAAAACAAAGAACCGCAGGTGATAGAGATCTGAAACAAAAACTGAAATTGATGGAGAAACTGGCAGGATCTGTGGTGAGAAAACAGAGTTAACCTTTTTGAGTCCAGTGACTCTTCATCGCAACAGTGGATGCATGGTTATCATTAGATTAGCTTCCATTCCAATTTATTGAATTCAGATTTTACCATCTGCCTTGGTTGGATTCAAACCCATGTCCCCAGAACACTTGCCTGGGCAATCTTAATCAGCAATCTGGTCATATTATCAGTCCACTACTGTCTTCCCTAAATTTAAATGTTGCAGGGTCTGTGTCTTATGTTAAGGTCATGTTATGAAACAATCAAAAAAATCAATCACATTTTAGCCATTACAACGAAGATTTTATTTATAATTCTTAACCTTATCTCATTTTTCAATTTGAAATACCATCAACTGATCTTGAAAATTGTGCTGCTATTTTCCAAATGTTGCTGAATAAAATCTCAGTTTTCTTACTGCAAATTAGAATACAGGCAAGTCAAACCAGTACAGAACCTGCAAGAGTTGTCCAGCACCCTCAGCTCTGACTAAAGAGCAGTAATGGGGTACATGATGCATCATTGCAGAGCTGTATCAAACAGTAATCACAATTCCCAGGGGACTTTCCGAATGACACAGCTGACAAATAGTGATGGTTCATTCACTAAAGCAGAAGTACTTGTCCGGAAGCACAAAAACATGGGAGCATCAGGAAACTAAATCATCTTAGTGTTCTTGTTGTGCTGGCTTCAGAGAATGACAGGATGGTGCAGCACACACAGTCAACCAGTCCTTACTTAACACATTTTTGTTGAGACCTTTTCAGCAGGCTTTATATTTATTTCAAAAGTACATTGAAGAAGTTACATGATAATTGGGTTTACTCCATATTGCAATGCCAAAAGCAGCTTACAGATTTGCCTCTCTATACTGTACACCCAGATGTGGACTCCAGGCACCAGCTGTACATGCAGCCTGTAGGCACAAGCCATACGCAGGCCTGAACATGACACAGACCTAAATTACAGGCATGAACTGTACACAGATTCAAGCTTCAGGCATGAACTGTACACAGGCCCAAACTACAGGCACGAACCATACACAGGCCCAAGCTACAGGCACGAACTGTACACAGGCCCGAACTACAGGCACGAACCATACATAAGCCCAAGCTTTAGGCACAAACTGTATACAGGCCCAAACTACAGGCATGAACCATATACAGGCCTGAACTACAGCCACAAACTGTACATGGGCCTGAATTACAAGCACCAGCTGCAGCACACACTGACTACAGGCACAAGCTGTATATCCAGGCTCTAAATGGAGGTAGCAGCAAACATCAGTTATTACTTCTGCGGAGTTTTGCCAAAATGTGAGGCAGAATATTGTCTTTTTCCCAGGTGCCTGGAGGTGCTATTTATGCTTTAATACAAAGTACTGTAAATCTTTCAGTGCCGTGCTGAGCAGTGATAGCTGTGAAGGAACCCTTCCAAAACCATGTGAGTGAGGCTCTGACGGCATGGTCTAAGAATAGCAGCCCTGCTGTGTGTGTGCCAGTACATGTCCCTCAGAAGACGAGAGATTTTATTAATGGCCACGATTTGGAAAAGAGCAGCATGGAGTCTTATTATGGAAATGCTTCCCCGCAGCATAAGGGTTTAGCTAATGCAGACGAAGTGATCATGATACATATTCAAAATACTAGGCTTTGTCAAAATCAGTTTCAAAGAAAATCTGCAGGTATAAAACAGTCCCTGTCCTCCTCATCAGTGGGGCTCATGGTGCTGGCTATGTGTCCATGGTTGTATCCGCAAATATAGATAGTTCACTGGAATTTTCTTCATAGTGCTGCCTCGTTTAAGATTATGGAACTGCAGACTCCCTCCTCAGCTTTCCTGGCAAATGGCTGTGAAATGTAGGGGGAATAAAAAAACAAAGCATGCATTAGGGACAGTGACAATATCCAGCAGCTGCAGCAGCCTCTATTTATAGGTGAGGTAGAGAGCACACAGACTAGAACCCAAACTGTATTTCCCAATGGAGTTCGCAGTCCTGATCCCAGAGACACTCAAATTGCAGGCCACACTTCCACAGTCAGAAACCAAACAAATTACGCAAGTCCTTTAAATGCCTGCAATAACAAAAGTTCAGAGCACTTTATTACTGGATAGTGTGAATAATGAAACAGTGAATGGGAAAAGAAACACAAGAAAGACAGATGTTGTTCAGCCACCCTGGCAGTTCAATGTGGTCACCTGCTGCCTTCGGCATCTCTTACCTCCATAAAGCTCTGAATTGGGGGCCGACTTCAACTTCTACTTAATTACAGCATTTGAATTTATAAATATCCAACTGGGTGTCAGGTTCCCAACTCAGCTTTGAAAATCTGACTGTGTCAGACCTCACACTTCTCCACCTGCCTTCCCCCCCACCCCGCAATATCCCCCACCCCCCACCTCAATGCTATGGCACTGAGCTCCAAAGGCAGCAATCTTTTCACTCAACGCTGCTACCAGTGAAATCCAAATCAAACTGAATGCAGCCTCCTTGTGCCTCTGGGCAGTCACCTCTGTTTCTGCTGGGGCCGGGGGGGTGGGGGATGGTGGGGACACAGCTGGGGAGGTCTGCACAATGCCAGTGAGAGTGCTTACTCAATGTCCAATTGGTACCTGCCAACCCCAGGCACTGTGCTGCTGCCTTTGACAAAACACGTGAAGATGGGAGCACATCAGTGGCAAAAACCAGTAAAAAAGTTAATAATACTCAGAAATGAACATACCAGAGTTACGACTGATTGTACGCAAGCCACGTCGGACCAGTATATGTCATTCACATGTTTTACTGGTTTTTCCTTCTGGTGATCCATCTGACGTTTTCATTTTAAAATGTTCCATGTTCTCACCTCCACAGGCTAGGAACATTCCAGCCATTCATTACATAAACAAGGGACTTATGGGAAGAAACTGGGAGAGAGGAGCAGAAGCAGGCCATATGGACACTGGGGTCTGCTTTACTGTTCCAAACTATCATGGTTTTTGAATCTCTTTGATCATTTTAAATGCCTCAGTTCAATTATCCCTCAATAGTTTACATTCAAGAGAACACAAACCAAGTGAAGGCAACCAAGAATGATCAGAATTTACAGCATTGACTGAGGCCATTCACCACAGTGTATTCATTCAGATAATCCAGCCTGACCAATTTCCGATGTCTTCTTTGAATGTTATAGTACTTTAAGCACATATCAACTTTCTGTTAGAAAAACCAGGGAGTTTTTTTGTCTTTACTTAAATCACTCTGTTGGTGAAAAATGTTACTCCTGAATTCTTTCGAAATATTCCACCACTTAAGGACACTGCACTCAACCCCATTTCAAATTACCAACTTCCCCCAGACCCTCCACTCAATCCCACTCCCCATGTCCAACTCACCCCAGACCCTCCACTCAATCCCACTCCCCATCACCAACTCACTCCAGACCCTCCACTCAATCCCACTCCCCATCACCAACTCACTCCAGACCCTCCACTCAATCCCACTCCCCATCACCAACTCACCCCAGACCATCCACTCAATCCCACTCCCCATCACCAACTTCCCCAGACCTGTTTTCACAAGTGAAACAAATCTTAGAAGGGTGATGGTTGAAGATTTTTTTCTCGGACTGGAGGTCTGTGACAAGTCGTGTCCACAGGTGTCGGTGCTGGGACCTTTGTTATTTGTTATCTAATGTACAAGGCATGATTAGTAAGTTTGCAGATGATACAAAATTAGGAGGTATCATTGATAGAGAAGAGGGTTATCATCAAGATCCCTTGGTAATCATATGGGGAAGTGGGCTGAGGATTAGCAAATGCAGTTTAATACAGATAAGTGTGAGGTGTTGCCCTTTGGAAAGTCAAACCAAGGTAGGACTTATACAGTAAGTGGTAAGGTTCTGAGGAGTGTTGTGGAACAGAGGGACCTAGCAGTACAAGTACATAGAGACAACAAGGTGCAGGGCTGGATGAACACAGCAGGCC